TTCTATGAAGCTAATACCAAAAGCAGATAAAGACAGCACAATAAAAGAGTATTACAGGCTAATATTCCTCATGAACATAGATGCCAAAATCCTCAACAAAATTCTAGCAAATCGGCTCCAGCAGTACATCAGAAAGATCATACACCATCACCAAGTAGGATTTATCTTGAGTATGCAAGGATGGTACAATATCTGCAAATCAAAAAACGTGATACATCACGTAAACAAATTGAAAGATAAAAATCATATAGTCCTTTTAATTGATGCAGAAAAAGCATTTGACAAAATCCAACACCCTTTTCTGATAAAAATTCTTGACAAGGTGGGAGTACAAGGATCATACTTCAACATAATAAAAGCTATATATTATAAACCCACACCAAACATAATACTCAATGGGCAAAAACTAAAACCATTCCCTCTAAGAACAGGAACAAGATAGGGTTGCCCACTCTCACCACTCCTGTTTGACATAATACTGGAAGTACTAGACATTGCAATTAGGCAAGAAGAATAAATAAAAGGCATAAAAATTTGAAAAGAAGTAATGTTGTCCGTATTTGTAGATGACATGATATGGTGCATAAAAAAAAAAAAAATCAGAACACTCCATCAAAAAACTAATAGACTTAATAAATGAATTCGGCAATGTAGCAGGATACAAAATTAACACCAAGAAATCTATGGCCTTTCTATACACCAGTGTTTCCCAAACTTCTCTCATGATGAGAAGCACCTGGTGAATTTGTTAAAATACAGATTCCTGAATCCCAACTAAGAAGAGGTAAACTAGAATTTTTGGGAACATATAGGTAAAATTGAAAGCAATTTATATGTTCAGTGCACTCACCATCAAAATACCAAGGCATATTTCACCTGGAAAGAACTCTCCAAAAATTCATCTGGAACAATAAAAGTCCCCAAATAGGCACAGCAATGCTGAGAAAGACGAATAAAGTAGGAGGGATCTCAATACCAAATTTCAAGCTGTATTACAAAGCCACTACTCTCAAAACAGCCTGGTACTGGCACAAGGACAGACATGCAGATCAATGGAATAGAATAGAGAATCCAGATATCAACTCAAATCACTATGATCAATTAATATTTGACAAAGGAGGCATGAACATACAATAGAGTCAAGACAGTCTCTTTAATAAATGGTGTTGCAAAAATTGCACAGATATCTGCAAAAGAATGCAACTAGATCACCAACTTATACCATACACAAAAATAAACTCAAAATGGATACAGGACTTAAACATAAGACAGGAAACCATAAAAATACTAGAGGCATCCACAGGCAGCAAAATCTCAGACATATGCCGAAAGAACTTCACTGATACTGCCCCTAGGGCAATGGAAGCTAAAGAGAAAACAAACAAATGGGACTACATCAAAATAAAAAGCTTCTTTACAGCAAAAGAAACCATCAACAAAACAACAAGAAAGCCCACTGTGTGGGAGAATATATTTGCAAATGTTACCACTGATAAAGGCTTAATCTCCAACATCTGCAGACAGTTTATACCTTATAAAAGGAAGATAAATGGTCCATTTAAAAAATGGGCAATGGACCTTATTAGAATCTTTTCAAAAGAAGACAGAAAGAAGGCCAAGAAGCACATTAAAACATGCTCAAAGTCACTAATTATCCGAGAGATGCAAATCAAAAGGACAATGCAGTACCATCTCACCCCTGTCAGAATGGCTATCTTCAACAAATCAACAAACAACAAACAACAAGTGTTGATGAGGACGTGGAGAAAAAGGAACCCTCATGCACTGCTGGTGGGAATGCAGACTGGTGCAATCACTTGGCGAATAGTATGGAGTTCCCTCAAAAAACTGAAAATGAAACTCCCATTTGACCCAGTAATCCCACTCCTTGGAATATATCCTAAGAAACTAGAAAAATCAATAAAAAAGATATATGCACCCCTATATTCATAGCAGCACAATTTACAATAGCTAAGATTTGGAAATAGCCTAGGTGCCCGTCAGCAGATGATTGTATCAAAAATATGGTACATCTACATAATGGAATACTATGCTGCCATAAAAAGGAAGGAATTCTTATCATTTTCAGCAACCTGGATGGAATTGGAGAACATTATACTGAGTGAAATAAGCCAGTCAATGAAAGAAAAACACCACATGATATCACTCATTTATAGATAATAAAGAACATTAACATCTGATGAACAAAAAGATAGATACAGAGACTGTAAAGCAACAAACAGACTGTCAAATTACAGTGGGGAGGGGATGGAGATATGGGGGGATATAAGCGTTCAACTGAAGGACTTGTATGCATGTATATAAGCATAACCAATGGACACAAACCTCTGCAGAGGGAGGGCATGTATGGGAGTGGGGGAAAATTGATAAAATATGTACACATATAATACCTTAATAAAAAAATGAAAAAATTTAATATAAAAATCAATGGAAAAATGTCACTGGGTGAGGATTTAATATATATGTAATTTATCTTTTTATCAGTGTATTAGTTTTCTATTATTATCACTGCAAACTAGCACATTTTGTCAGCTTAACATAACAGAAATAAATTAACTCACAATTTTATATTTCAGAAGTCTGAGTTTGGTTTAATTCTTTACTCAAGGTTCACAAGACTGAAATCAGGTTATGGGCTGGCTAAGCTCCTACCAGAAGACTCTGGGTAAATTCCAGTTTCAAGTTCATTGCAGTGAGCAAAATCTGATTCTTTGTGGTGGTAGGAATGAGGCTCCTATTTTCTTGTTAGCTATTAGCTAAGAGCCAGCCTCCTTCTGTAGTCCTTCAGGTGGACCTCTATATCTCAGAGTCCTCTCAGCACATCTAATCTTGTTCATATTTGAAATCTCTCTTCTCAGCAACTGAATTCCTCTTCTTCCTGTTTTTAAAGGTTTTAGTGATTACTTTGGGCCCATACAGATAATCTAGAACAATCTCCCTATTTTAGATTGAGCTGATTAGAAATTTTAATTCTATCAACAAAGTTTAATCATAGCAGTAGCTAGATTAGCATTTGGCTTAATAACTAAGGGATGGGACCCTTGAGGAAATAGTTTTAGAATTTAGAGTAGCACAATTATCACCTAGATTTTTAACATAAATAATGATATATAAGTCCATAGAGCACTTGGGATGTATCCAGAAATAATTTAACCCATTCAAACATTTGGTGTTTCTAGATTACATCTTCTTAGATTTGACATATTTTATACACATATTTTATACAGTTTTAGAGATAATTCAATAGTCCTTTCTTCTCCTTAGGTGATCTAGCAATTTTGGAATAAATCTGAGATGTACATGCTATGGTCTTTCTTTTCAATGAATAATTTGCTCTGAGGAGAGCATGTTTATTTTTTCCTCAGTAAAGGAATTGTTTATAACTTACATTTGTCCCCTATGTTCAGAAATAGGATTTCAGGGTAAATGTTTTGGCAATAATTTGGCATATTTTTCTGGAGTGATTTTTATATTTAGGATGGAACTGTTGTTTTCTAAGTTCAATCAGATACTGAATTACATGAGTGTAATCTTCTGGAGCTAGAAATCTCTATTTGACTCTCAGCTGCTTTTCTTCAGCCACCATATCGGATTTATCAGCAGTCTTGCTGATTCTCATCCTCAGTGACCCAAGTGCTACATCTTTCTTTTCACCCATTGCCCCTATGATACCCTGGTTTACATTCTTATAATTTTCTATGCCATCTATTGAAATAACATCCTAATTGACCTGTCTGCTTCTGGTTTTTCCCTTCTTCATATAGTGTTCCAGATATATGATCCAAACTAAACTTTAAAAAACTGTCAGTTTCCCCATTGACTCCAGAATGGCATTCTTACTTTAGCATAACATTCAAAGATTTCCATTATATGACTGAATCCTATCTTTCAACCTTATTTTCAATTATAATCTTCCATATAAGTGTTGGGATAGTGGTTATTGAATACTATTTTCCCAATGATAAAGATGGGCCATGTTCTGGTAATAGGCCTGTATTACTGGGTTGAAGAGTTTGTGTTACTATTACACGTGGGGCTTAAAAGATGCCTTTGATAATTCAAATATTCTTATTTTTTTTTATCTTCACAGAGATATGATTGTGAAATTCAGGATAGCCCTTTTACCACCTACATTTTTAATTTTTTTCCCTTTCCTCTCTATTAGTCTTGCCATTTCCCTAGCATGGGTCTTGTCATAATCTCTTCTGGACTATTGCCATGGCCAATCTGTCTCTTTTTCCCATTCTCTCTTTACTTTAACCCCATCATCATATTGTAGTAAGTTATCATTCTTAAACAGTTTTATCATGGCCCCCTTTTTAATTCAAAACTTTCATGTGTCCCACACTGTTTTCACTGAAATTGTTTACCTACTTATTCAGTGGCTAAGAATTTGAACCTTAAGCCAAACACTTTAGGATGGGATCCAAACTCTCCTACTTACCACCTATGTGATGTCATTTTATTGATCTGTTTGAGTTTCCTCATCTGTAAAATGGATATAATAATGTTTATATAGAGTTTGTTTTTAAATATATATATTTTATTGATTTTTTACAGAGAGGAAGAGGGAGGGATAGAGAGTTAGAAACATCGATGAGAGAGAATCATCGATCAGCTGCCTCTTGCACATCCCCTACTGGGGATGTGCCCACAACCAAGGTACATGCCCTTGACTGGAATAGAACCCGGGAACTTTCAGTCTGCAGGCCGACGCTCTATCCACTGAGCCAAACCGGTTTTGGCTATAGAGTTTTTATGTGGATAAAAATATATTAAATATGAAAATCAATTACCCAGTACTTGGTACATAGTATATATTCAACTAATACTGGCCATAATAACCACCATAGAATACTGCAGAGATTGAGATGAACTCTATAAATAACTGCCTATTTTTATTTAATTCAGGATTTTTGAGAGATACATATTTAGCTAAATAACTGAATTTCAATGTTCCTCCTTTTTGCCCTGTGCAGGCAGCTTACGATTGTGACTGGTGAATGGTTTTTTGAAGAAAAGGCAAAACGTTTCAAGCAAGTCAATGTTCTAGGCACTGATGTTGTCCGACAGTCCATCTTAAGAAAAAATCCAGGTAATTAAAGAAATTATTTGGTTTCAAAATTGTTTTAATCTTCATTTTGGCAAGCTAAATAACTTCCCTCTATTATGTAGCAAATGACCACAGTTGAATTTCTGAATCCCTTAGGTCATTTTAAAAGATGAAATCTAAATTTGCAGTTCATACAAGGGAAAAGGAAATCAGTAGAAAAAATACACAGTGATTTTCTATATAGCTGATACACAGATTATTAAAGGGGGTATTTATCTTCATCATAGACAGTTTTTAACTAAATTAACTTACAATATATTACTAAATCTTAAAGGAAGTAACACAAAACACTTGAATTAAATAAGTTGCATTGTCACATTGTGAAAGCAATCCTTGACTTTTCAACAAAATGTTTTCCAGATTTCTTTTATATGTTACTGTTTATAATCCAGTGGTTCTCAACCAAAATATTGTACATTGTGCCCCTCCTCCAATCGAGGGGAGCATTTAGAAATTCAAGGGTGGGATTTAATGGAATTTAGCAGTCATGTGTTAGAGATGTTCCATAGTCTGAAAGGCAGTTTCACTCAATTAAGAATTATACTGTCACCAAATGTGAATAACAGCCCACCCTGAGAATGCTATTCTGTGCATTCAAACTATAATTTAATTGTTAAATACTGGATAAAACTTGTGTTTAGGAGCATATTCCTTATGTGTGGTGTAGTAAAGGTATCTTCTGGCCTATTCATAGAAGATACTGGTGACTAATGCCTTTGTTTTGCAGTCCGGCAGGAAGGGCTAAAAATATCAATTATTATAGACTTAGCCTTGTGCTAATATAGGAAAGTGAATGAAGAATAGAAAATTGTTCTCATCTCTAGCCATTTTGCATGTAAATTTGTCTTCTGATTATTTTTAATGAGGAGCTAAAGAAATACAAAGCCAAGAGAAAAACCACCAGGATGCAGAAAAGTCAAACACATCACCTTCTCCTCGGCAGAAGGCCAGCCATGATGAGTCTAAGAGAAAAGGGTAAGAGCCTTTCCACAGGAATTTTTACCTTTATTCCAGACACCTCTGAAATAAAGACTCTTCAGTATTTGAAGTCTGGTGTCACTTCAGTAACCCAGAGAAGTTCAGAGACTCAATCAAGATTAGATTCTCCTAAGGAAATTCTGTTTTAATTGCTTTTAGCCTTAAATGAATACAAGTCCCCTCCAATCTGAACATCTAAGAGTTTTTCTTGCATTTGACATATCCAGACTTGTACCAAGTGGTTCCCATCTCTTATAGGTACATTTCAAGTTCAGGGCCAGTCCTGCATATAAAGTAGTGATGACTGACTTTGTTGTAGAATGTCAACACTCTTCCCCCCATCCTGAGTGCTGCTATGTGAAATATCCAAATAAAATATTAATTGTACAGAAAACATTATAGCCCCTGTTTAAAATACAGGTTTCCTTAAGGAGAAAAATCACATTTGGCCACCTCAGAAACAATTCACAAAGTAAATATGTGTGTCAGGTGCTGAGAATAGGAATAGGAGACATATCGGGAAATAAGATTCATGGAGGCTCTGGAAAACTGGGAACAAGAGAGTTCCACCAAGGGAGAAAAGTGGCATATAAAATGATGGCTATAAGGACCAAAAGTCAAACTGCTGTTTCACAGCATTTTTCAGTTTTCACTTCTCAGGTAGCTGTTGATTAGTTTTGAGGCTGAGGTAGTGAGTTCTAATATGCACCAAATCACTTTGTGATACTTTCCAGGTAGCATTGCATCATTTTCTCAGAAAAAAATCAATGTGAGAAACTGCCAGTGTTTGAGAATTCTGACTCTACAGAAAGTTTTTTTATTTTTTATTTTTTGGAACTTTGAACTGCAAGTAGGAATGAAACCTAAATCTCCTCTAACTAAAACATTTATGACTAACCATGTCTTCATTAATTATTAGATATAAATGGAAAAGATAGCCTAGAGTGACTATACATCCCACATATTGATTCTTCCTATCATGTTGCATTTGTCACTCCCCATGACTCCTACAATGCCTTGTGCCTGTGCATCACTCCTTACATTGCATTCTGACACAGACACTGCCTCACTCCACACACACATTTAATTGTGAGCTCCATTGGTACTGGGACTGTTTTCTGTATGTGTGTTTTTTGTTTTGTTGTTATGTGTGTGTGTGTGTGTGTGTGTGTGTGTGTGTGTGTGTGTGCACGCGCACCCACTACAGCATGGTGCCTGGCTTGTCAAAAACAACCAGTGAGTTGATTGAATAAGTAACTCAGAGTTCACAGGTGCTTGCTTCTAGGAGCTGTAGTTTGCAGATCCCAGTTTAGGCATCATTGCATAGGTTTACAGCAAAGTGCTGAGCTTGGAGCTTGGAGAAAATAATAACTGTTCAACACAATGAATTATATACACCTTGAATTGTTTTAAAAAATAGTCATAGCATTTGACTGAGCCTCACTGGAACTCAGAATTATGATCTTATGGTTCTCAGTCTTCAAGGAATATAAACACCTAGATGGGGACAAAAGGTACATACCTAAAATTTTAACCTGTTAACCGAACGGGACGTATAAATACGTCAAACATAAACAATATTAGATACGGGTAGGACATATGAATACGTCCTTGAAATATATGTTGCGCCCTGAAACTGGCGGGATGTATATTTCTGAACAACAAAGCTATTAGTCATCCATACATGTCTCGACATGAATTTAAGACACGGATGGAATCAGTATAATTTCACTATTGAGAATGGTGGACGTGTTCTGGGTGAGCAATGACAGGTACGTACTTACACTTACCTACCTATTTTCGTATTATATTAATATATTATTTACTTATATATTTTTTTATATCTCCAACCTTTATATAATAGAAAAACATATAAAATTGATCCAATCATCAATAATTTGTTAGAAAAAGTTTAAAAGTTTTTATGTATGTGAACGAGAAATATGCGTAGATGAATCTCTTTTATTATGGAAAGGGAATTTATCTTGGAGACAATATATATCTACAAAAAGAGCTAGATTTGGAATGAAGTTGTTTATTTTGAGTGAAAGCCAATCTGGATATGTACAAAATATAATTTTATACACAGGCAAGGACACAAATTATGGTTCAAATTATTACCCACAAGAAAAACAATCAACAAGAATTGTTTTGGAGTTAACACATGACTTACTGAATAAAGGGTATAGGATTTACTTAGATAATTTCTATAAGTCAATTCATTTGGCTGAACTCTTGTGTCAAAACAATACAGACTTTCTTGGAACAATGAGGATAAACAGAGTCGGAATCTCTAGTGAAATAAAAACAAAAAAATTACAGCTCCAAGCAAGCAAAAGTAAGTTAGAGAATTTCCATAAATTCAATATCTTTCTAGTTCCACCTCCTCTAACTTGTTATCAGTGGAGCCAAGTGAAAATCTCCACTGATACAGAGCTATTACCTTGCCAAGCAAAGTAAAGAGAAATAGAAAGAATTGTCAAGAGCATAGCCAATCATTTTATAACAGGCTTGATTTTCTTTATCATGCTGGGGCACAAGTCAAGGCTTACTTTCACGATTAGTGTATTTTCAAAGTGGTAAGAAAAAGATCTACTTTCATGTTTCTCTGATTCTTCTAAATGTTAACTTACTTTTGCTTGCTTGGAGCTGCAGCAATTCTGCAAAGCCAGGAAGCAGAACTCTCCATTCTTGCTTGTTTGATTCAGTGGATAGAGCATTGGCCTGCAGACTGAAGGGTTCCGGGTTGCAGGCTCAATCTCTACTGGGGGGTGTGCAGGAGATAGCAGATCAATGATTCTCTATCATCATTGATGTTTATATCTCTTTCTCCCTCTCCCTTACTCTCTGAAATCAATAAAATATATTTTAAAAAGAAGTAGAACTTCCTTAAGCTCTGCAAGCAGAATTGCATTTTCCCTGTTATTCATTTTAGAATGTAGAACAGAAAACCCTCTAGAGAGGACACTTTTTTGAGTGCTGGGTCTATTTTTCTTTCATGGTGACTCTCTATATCTGTGTTGTTGTTTTTCTAAGCATTTCTGCAAACTAGTGTTACTTTATGTAAAATTGCACAAAAAACATATATAAGGATAAAATAAATCATTTATCCACTATCAAAAAATCATCACTAGCCGGGACCGGTTTGGCTCAATGGATAGAGCGTCGGCTTGGAGACTGAAAGGTCCCGGGTTCGATTCCAGTCAAGGGCATGTACCTTGGTTGCGAGCATATCCCCAGTAGAGGGTGTGCAAGAGGCAGCTGATTGATGACTCTCTCTCATCGGTGTTTCTAACTCTCTATCTCTCTCCCTTCCTCTCTGTACAAAATCAATAAAATATATATTTTTTTAAAAATCATCACTATAATTGGTGTTTTCAAAATTTTCAAGAATATAGATAATTTCCTTTACAATAAAATGTAAACCATGGTTGCCTTTGCCCTTGAAATAGTTGCCTTTGGTTTCCCTAAAGAAAGCCCAATGTTGTGTCCCACAAAATCTTTTGTTTTTCATTGTTGAACTCCTGACTATCAGACATCAAAATTATTTACAGATGATAAGCAAAAAGCTTAGTGTTGCTATTTTTGCTCAGCCTCTCAGGGACTCCGTGGATGAGCCATTCAGGCTATCATTTAAGAGAGACATTATATATACAAAGAGGAAATATGGAGTTCCTTGGAAAAAAATTTCCCCACACTCAACAAATACAATTAGATTATTCCATTTTAAATAAGTTTTTACAACTACTCAACAAGAATAAGGGGCATGCTCTCTAATATCGCAGTGCTTGAACTATTCTTGCAGAGTCTATCAGCCTGGGTTTAATTCTTGTGCCTTATCCACTACTGGGTATAAATAACTATCCTATATAATAAAAAGGCAATATGCAAATAGACCAAACAGCAGAACAACCAAACAACAAATCAAAGCATAATATGCTAATAATATGCTAAGGCTGCTCAACTGCATGCTATGACATGCACTGACCACCAGGTTGCTCCTGTAGATTAGCTTGCTGCTGAAGTCCAGCAAATTGGGACTGAGCGAGATGGGCTGCACATGCCCTGGAGCCCTTACGCGATCCCTCACAGGCCCAATTGCACCTCAGCCTGGCCTGTGCCCCCTCACAATCCAGGACTTCTCAGGGAATATCAGAGAGTCAGTTTCAGCCCAATCGCACACCCAGGCCACTCCCCTTGGGAGGGTGCCAGATGCAGGGCTCATGGCTGGTGAGTGCTGCTATGGCAGCAGGAGCCTCTCCTGGTCAAGAATAATTGGACACAGTGGGGCTGGGATGAGCGGGAGCAGCAGGTAGGAACTGCAGGCAGTGCTGGACTGTGAGTTTCAGCCCAATCCCTGCAGGCCACCCAGAAGGACCCCACCTGTGCACGAATTCATGCACTGAGCCTCTAGTAAACCTATAAAGCCAGATGGACATTTTTTGTGTTTTTTTAAAATATATTTTATTGATTTTTTACAGAGAGTAAAGGAGAGAGATAGAGAGCTAGAAACGTCGATGAGAGAGAAACATCGACCAGCTGCCTCCTGCACATCCCCCACTGGGGATATGCCCGCAACCAATGTACATGCCCCTGGCCAGAATTGATCCTGGGACCTTTCAGTCTAAAGACCAATGCTCTACCACTGAGCCAAACCAGTTTGGGCCAGTTGGACATGTTTACCAAATACAGGTGTTTTGACCCAGGGGTTTCTTGTTTTTGTTGTAAACTGAAAATGATGTCCCTAAGGAGGCTTTATCTTTTAGGTTTTAAATACCTGAAATGGTTTACAGAAAATCAGAATACAGAACTCAGGGGTGCTTTGGCTTAAGCATGCCAAGAACAATGTTTTCCCATTAAGAGAGTAAAGATGTTTCAGGGATGAGTAGAGCAAAATGTTCTTTGCCTAGAACCTGCATTTATTACAATGATGATTCATTAATAGAATGCCCCAATGAGCTGAGTTACATTGTCCCCAAATTATTCCTTAGAAGGTT